GACCCCCGCTTAACGATATTTTTTCACTCCAGAAGTATGTTCAGGTGCCAATACTGACCGAATTTGTTCCCATAAGAAATATTGTGAAGTAGATTAGTCCATTTCAGACCCCCAAACATACACGTACAAACGCACTTACATAAATACACTTGCATAATTGGTCGCATTCGAAGGTGATCGTTATGCGGGGGTCCACTGTATTTTGAACTTTGTGTTAAATTGGCCAAATTACCAATTTCCAATCACTTTATTTTGTAGTTGAAACAGTTGAATTGATTTATGGCCCACATAATCAGTAAAGCATTTAAATTACTGTACTGGAAATGCCTCAGTCCCAAGCAGAGGAGATGCATGATATATATACGTGGAAGGCACTGAAGTGAGAGCTATGGGAGAAAATGTGAAATGAACTCGGTGAAAAGTCAGGGTGCCGAGGGCACACTGAGAGAAAAGGAGTACAGGATACTAAAATCAATGAAGATAACGTAAGTCCCATGTACTGGACTGAGGAATAATGAAGTCTGAGAGCTACCACAAGGAAAATAATAGACTGGATACATAGAACCTCCAACACGAGATGCTGAGCCAATGATAATACTGTTTAAATTGCTCTCTCCAGGCTGGAATACTGCTGTCTACTGACAGCCTCATTCAAGGCACGCCAGATTGCCTAGCTGGAAAATGTACAGACAGCTTTCACTGCTTACATACAATCAAGCATCTGAAAGACTGGGAACACATGAAGTCTGTATTCCTTGAAATGTAGGCAAGAGAGATCCATAATAATTTACATCTGAAAAATCCTGGAGGGACTGGTTCCAAGTCTGAATGTAGAAATCACTGATAACATGAGACATGACAGATGGTGCAAAATACCTCAACTAAAAATCAGGGATTCAATGAGTACACTAAGAGAACTTGATGAGTGTCAGAGGTCCCCAACTCAATGCCCTCCCTTTCTCTGTGCATAAGGGGAACTACCAACAAACCTCTGGGGTCTTCAAGAGGGAACCAGACAAATTCCTCAAATCAGTGCTGATGAACCAATTTGTGGTTTATACATTGGATTGCAGGTGGCCAGCAGTAACAGCTTGGTTGATCAGGCTTGATCATCTAGGAGGTCTAGTCTGGGACTGGGCCACAGGGGTGGTGACCTCTGGAAATGTGCTTCGGGTAAAGTGGCCATCATGTTGTCTAGTAGTTATTTTCTGTTTGTCCTCAAGGTTGAGCAAAGTGCCTTGATAACTTTGACCTTGTACCTCATAGTATGACCACTGACATCTCTGTGCTCAATACCTCCAGCCAGGTATATAACCACTAATATATGAGTGCTCAAGTAATAACTCTACCAATGTGTTGTACCCTTTTCACTTATTTGCTTCTCTCACTAGCAATTCTTTCTCCCTCTTCCTCCAGTTTAACTCGCCCTGTCTTTCTTTCTGGTTGTCCATTTTCTCTTGCTCACACTCTCTCGCTCGCTCACTAATATACTCCTGCTCGCTCACTCTTACTCGCTCTCTCCTGCTCGCTTCCTCTCTCTTGCTCACTCTCTTCTTTTACACTGTGTTTCTTCAGGGTTATGTTATGCCAAGAGCTGTTACCTACATCATCTGTTCATTTGAAAGTCTTTTTAAAGTTGAGACTTACAGATAGTGAACAGGATGAATTAAGAGCCATCTGTTGGCCAATAATTTCATTTGATCAACTGACTTGTTTCATTGATGTCATTATGCTGTACGAACATGTTGCAAACACAAATCATCCTAAGAATAAATAAATCTCAGATGAAGTGATGTTCTGGAGAAGGGTACAGTGTATAGTTGCTCTTTGCTGCCTGTCTTGTGGTCTAAAAGCTTGCTTAGTGCTGTCCACTTCTCCTCCTCCTCCTCCACTGCCTGCTCTTCCTCCTCTTCCACCTTCTGCTCTCTCTTTCCCTCCCCTAACTTCTAACTTGTCTTCTTCCTCTCTCTCCTTGAGCCAAGTCATATTGTTAACATGTATTCCAAGACGATGAAGTCAAGACAGGTTGGTACAGCACAGTTGTCACTAGTGTACGTTATTCACTAATATTTATACACGTCTCAAAAACCCTGCTGTTTAATTGTTTGTTGTTATATGTACTATACTGTATGCAGCATACCATGTTATTTAACAAGAACAAACTTCAAACTTTGATAGTACATGGATAATTCTCCTGTTTTATACAGTATGTATAATTACTTTTATTTACAAGATGAATTGTGATCATGTCAGGTGGCTGTAAGTTCCATTTAAAGGTAAGATAAGATTTTGTTGGGATTTTTAACCTGGAGGGTTAATCACCCAGGATAACCCAAGACAGTCGGTGCATCATTGGGGACGGTCTGTCTTAGTAGATGTGGTTTGTTTTCCATTGCCATTCCTTCAAGGAGGGTGCTTTAATGATAGTGTAGAGTTCTTGGTCCAAGGAATTGGAAATACAGTTCCTATGGATCAAACCTGGTTGCCTCCCCTTCTACTGGTGCTGCATGACCTGTACAAATTTAGTTCTTCCTCATACATATAACCATGCTCCACAAATAGGTATTCCCAGTGAGCACTATCCAATTTTCTTGTTAATGTGTATGTGATATACCTGTCACTGGGTTCCAGAGTTTTCTTGTTCTTGCAGCACAGCCTGGAGCCAGGCTTTTATATTGACTGCCTGTTACTGCTGCTCTTGATGGCTCTCTGACCCACATACCCATCCTAGTCTGGTTAATCTGTCTTGTTGCATCTCCTGTGATGAATGACAAATTAGTGATCTGCAGTTATGAAACAAGCATCCCTTCTTGAGGACAGGAATCATATGCACAAGTGTGGAAGCAAGTTTTGAGGGGTCAAATTTGAGATGTGGCAGTGGGATGAAAGGTGTGCTAAGTGTGTGGGAGAGTTGTGGGAATGAGCTGTAGGGGTGTGGAAGAGAGTTCTCAGGTGTGGGGACCCTTATGGGTTTAGCACTTGTCTGTGAATATGTTGTGTGGAAAAATGAATATTCATAGCTTTGAAGAACACTGCTGTCTTTTCATGTTACAATTCACGCCACTTGGGAATGCAGGTTAAGGGACACATTTCCACTGTGTCAATACATTACTGAGGCAGTTTCTCTCACCTTGAGCTTTATCAATCCTCATCAAGGCTTGATGAAACTTTAGGTCAGCAAAAGAGTCTAAATAATAAATCAAACTTACAAATATGTCTCACGAAATTGTAATGACACGACTGCAAACAAACCATACCACGGGCGGGATAGAACCCACGATCCAGTGGCTAACGCGACGGTCTGGAGTTTTGAGACTGATCGCGGGTTCTATCCCCACCCGTGGTATGGTTTTTTTACAAATATGTCCATTTACCTAAATTATACTCAACTACCATTTATATTCTCAACTTTATGACGTACTTATTAGGAAGGTCATTATTATTATCATAGTTATTAGGAAGTCCTGAACCTGTAAAAGTTGTACGACACCTAGAGAAAGGGTCATGTTTGATCCAATTAAGGGGAATGTAGCTCCAGTTCCTAGGAGCAAGATCCCCTCCCTTCACCACTAAGGAACCTTTCCCTTCCTCCTCATAAGAATCAAGTAGGTCAGCAGACCTTTCTTTTAAAGACTATAACAAGACAAAGATCACGACAGCCAGGAAGATGACTGGGTGGGTATTGAGAACTTTCAGAACAAGGGAAATAAAGCCGATGGTGACACTCTTCAAATCGCTAGTGCTCCCTCACTTAGAATATTGCTCAGTGCTGACGACCCCGTTCAGGGCAGGAGAAATATCGGAGCTGGAACAAATAGAGATTGTTTACGGCTCACGTTGAGCCAGTAAAGCACCTAAACTACTGGGAATGCCTGCAAGTCTTGATCATGTACTCATTGGGGTGGAGGAGAGATAGGTACATGATAATATATACATGTACCTGAAAGGTACTCAAGGGCTTGGTCCCAAATCTGCACACTGCCATAACAACATACTGGAGTGAGAGATATGGGAGGAAGTGTAAAATAAACCCAGTGAGGAGCATTGCTGCGGTGGGGACAATAAGGGAACACTGAATCAACATCCAGAGTCCCAGACTTTTCAACATCTTACCAGAAGATATCAGAAACACTGCTGGAATAAGTGTTGAAGCCTTCAGGAGGAAACTAGACAAGTATATCTTCACCAGGTGCCAGGTCAACCAGGCTGTGATGGATATGTGGGGCACCAGACCTCCAGTAGCAACAGCCTGGTTGACCAGGCGAGCACCAGACGAGCCTGGCCCATGGCCGGGCTCAGAGAGTAGATATACTCTCGAAATTCTTTGAAGGTATATCAAAGGTTGCCTCGGTAAATTTATTTTAATTTTTTTATTCCAAATACTGGAGTATTGTATTGTTTGTCCAAACACTAACTATATATATATATATATATATATATATATATATAATATATATATATATATATATATATATATATATATATATATATATATATATATATATATATATATATTATATATTATATATATATATATATATGCATATGCATATATGCATATGTATACACACCTACCATCCGACTTACGACCTGCTCTACTTACGACAATTCGACTTACGACTGTGTTTTTTATGCCAAATTTCTGGGAAATAAACAAGTGTTTGTGTTGTACACAGTGTTTATCTAAACCTTACAGTATAAAATTCAGTACTAACAGCATAAAAAGTAAAGTAAAACATGAAATACCAAAATAAAACAATAAAATAAAGCCATTAAAAAAATGTTATGTTGATATTTAGTAGTAAAGTTCGACTTACGACCATTTCGACTTATGACCGGTTTCTCGGAACCGAACTCGGTCGTAAGTCGGATGGTAGGTGTATGTGTATATATATATATATATATATATATATATATATATATATATAATATATGTATATAACTTTCAAAACATTATCTTTATTTTTACTATATTTCTTACTCATTGGTCTGTGTTACAGGTGTTGATGAGAATTTAACATGTAGCAGAGTGCAGCAACTTCCAAACTTGTGAGTAGTAAACATTAATTTGGTAACTGCGTGTTGTCAAATTAATGTTGCCTGTGTATCATGCATGCCTGAGCAAATAATTAGCTTTAATGTTCAGAGTATAAGGTTACATACTCAGTTCTCTCTCTAGATGTTGGTCACAGTAATAATGATTTAAATATTTATTTCTACAAGTAAATACATTATACAACTTATACAGATCATAGCTGACATCAGTGACATACTGTATAGAAAGTGCCTTGTTACGTAGAGCATTTTGGACAAATTAGGTTAATTTTTGTCCCCCACAAACATCACAACTCAAACGACTTACAAGATGTACCAACAGTTTTCAGACTGTTTTAGTTTTCAACATTATTTTCAAGTCAGTTCTGAAACCCAGACATTATTTGAAGCTTTTTTTTTTTGTTCTGTGTGAACAAAGTTTTTTTTATTTAGTCACTAATGATTAAAGGTTTGTGATAAATGAAACAAAGCTAATTTCTGTTTCTTTAAATATTTATTTTTGTAACATTAAAGTATTGATTTAAATTTGATGCCTTTTTTTTTAGAGACTGACCCTATCTCAGCTGCATTTGCTTCATAAGTTATGTGCAAATACAGTGGAAGCTTTGTGGAAGCTTGGTATACATCCTTAATTCATTCCAGAAGGCTGTTCCAGTGCTGCTCCGTTTGAGTATCACACAAATTCTTTCCAACCAGTTCTCTGTTTGGTTGGCTGTTATCACTAATCGTCGTAGGCCCCATGGTGACTTATTTACACAAGTACAAAAAAAAAAATGCGAAGAAACACGATATAATTTACAGTAAAGTTCTGGCAGGTCGTTTTTGTTTGGTCGAGTGCTGAGCTTTGTTCGAGTAGGGAGCTGGTTGTATACCAATTTTCCACTGTATAACATAATTTTTTAGCTGTTTAGAAGAAAGATTCCTACATTTTTTTCATATATTGCACTTGTCTCTGCTCTCCAGATTGTATTGAGTGGTTCAGTTTATATACAAAAAAGAAAAAACATCCAATTTTATACAGCATTTCTTAGGTAAGGGCAAAAATCATGGTACTGATAGTGTAAAATGAACATTTACCAAAACTCAGCACAAAGCAGAGTTCAACTCTCTAATATAGCAGAAGTACAGTGCCAGCACTCTGAAGAATCAGCAGCTCATAAAGTCATTCCAGTTCTGTTGGATAAACAGACACAGATGCAACTGACATAACGTTTTATTGTGGCAACGATTTACTCTTCAGAAACTTTGTCAACCTGTTATCCTTGACAAAGCTCTTGGAGGGCAAAGCATTGCCACATTAAAATGTCATATTATAGTGCTTGATACAACTTACACATTCCTAACAGACATTAATGATATACTACAGCCTTTCCTCACTTAGCAACGTACTCGTTTACCGATGCCTTGGACTTATGACTGGCTCTCTGACCAGTATTCATACCTAAATAATATATATTAGAGCAGATTTCCTCTATTCTGTTTATTTCAACATATGGTCCACTACTGTATAAACCTTTAAAAATATACCAGAAATGTTATAAATGGTGTAAAGGTGACACAAAACAGTATCAAAGATTGTTGACAAACTCACTACCATTATAGCATACTCCTCACTTAGCAACGAATTTGTTTAATGACGTGGTCTCAGAACGGAACTCAGTCGTTAAGTAAGGAGAGGCTGTATATAAAAAGCCCCATGTTATGCAAAGCATTTCAGGCAACTTAGGTTAATTTTATCCCCAGGATGCGACCCACATCAGTCTGCTAACACCCAGGTACCTGTTTGCTGCTAGGTCAACATTAACTTAACTTTTTTTTGTAATTCTCCCATTTGAATTCTGATGCAAGCCACTTTCAGAAATTCAGCTAGAGAAGTGAATGATGGTGAATGTCTTACCTTTTAAAGTCACTGTATTTTGGTGGAAATTGTCTGTGCTGATTAAAGTGTTAATATGTATTTTAAACACAGTATGTAAATTAAAGTTAAATGTGATTCATATGGATTAATCATCTAAACACTTTTATAGGTCTTGACTTTTAGAGGGAAATATTCAGCTAATTTAATATCAGAACCAGGTTTTACTTTTGAGTGTTTAACTCTAGGTAGAGCTTTACCAGGTCCTGACTTGATAAAGTCTTACCCAGAGTGAAACACACTCACTGATACAAGTTTTGTTCTGCATTGAGCATTGTTTTTTTACCATACTTGTCAACAATATCTACTGTCATTCAGATCCAGACTTTCCCTGAAAAGATTACAATAATTATTTTTTATTGCTAGAGGGGCTGAAGTTTGTAATTATTTTAGCCTTCAGAATTTCTTATACAAGTTTCTTGTGTATTTTATAGCAGTGAAACTGCACTCTGTAGGTACTGTCATAGCAGTGAAACTGCACTCTGTAGGTACTGTCATAGCAGTGAAACTGCATTCTGTAGGTACTGTCATAGCAGTGAAACTGCATTCTGTAGGTACTGTCATAGCAGTGAAACTGCATTCTGTAGGTACTGTCATAGCAGTGAAACTGCACTCTGTAGGTACTGTCATAGCAGTGAAACTGCATTCTGTAGGCACTGTCATAACAGCACCAGTAGTGTTATGTTACCTATATTACTTGTATTGACTACCACATTTTGATAGTAATGAATACTGTTTGCAGTATCACACAGTGCTGTCTCTACAAATATAGTACAGTAAACCCTCTTATAATGCAAAGATATATTCTTGGAAATTAGTAGTTTATATATGAAGTGAACACTTGAGATAAATTAGGGTTACTTTCTGGAGACATTCACATCTTCTACTAAGTACAAATTACTGCAGTTTATTATCTTGCATTCTAGTTGTGGTTGCTTGTAGACATGTATGTGGAGAAGGTTGATGTAGTCCTACTGGGCTGAGGAGGATGGCTGTGGTCCTACTGTGGTGAGGAGGATGGCTGTGGTCCTACTGGGCTGAGGAGGATGGCTGTGGTCCTACTGTGGTGAGGAGGATGGCTGTGGTCCTACTGGGCTGAGGAGGATGGCTGTGGTCCTACTGTGGTGAGGAGGATGGCTGTGGTCCTACTGTGGTGAGGAGGATGGCTGTGGTCCTACTGGGCTGAGGAGATGGCTGTGGTCCTACTGGGCTGAGGAGGATGGCTGTGGTCCTACTGGGCTGAGGAGGATGGCTGTGGTCCTACTGGGCTGAGGAGGATGGCTGTGGTCCTACTGTGGTGAGGAGGATGGCTGTGGTCCTACTGTGGTGAGGAGGATGGCTGTGATCCTGCTGTGCTGAGGAGGATGGCTGTGGTCCTACTGTGGTGAGGAGGATGGCTGTGGTCCTGCTGGGCTGAGGAGGATGGCTGTGGTCCTACTGTGGTGAGGAGGATGGCTGTGGTCCTACTGTGGTGAGGAGGATGGCTGTGGTCCTGCTGGGCTGAGGAGGATGGCTGTGGTCCTGCTGGGTGAGGAGGATGGCTGTGGTCCTCTGTGGTGAGGAGGATGGCTGTGGTCCTGCTGGGCTGAGGAGGATGGCTGTGGTCCTACTGTGGTGAGGAGGATGGCTGTGGTCCTACTGGGCTGAGGAGGATGGCTGTGGTCCTGCTGTGGTGAGGAGGATGGCTGTTGTCCTGCTGGGCTGAGGAGGATGTCTGTGGTCCTACTGGGCTGAGGAGGATGGCTGTGGTCCTACTGTGGTGAGGAGGATGGCTGTGGTCCTGCTGGGCTGAGGAGGATGGCTGTGGTCCTACTGTGGTGAGGAGGATGGCTGTGGTCCTACTGTGGTGAGGAGGATGGCTGTGGTCTGCTGGGCTGAGGAGGATGGCTGTGGTCCTACTGGGTGAGGAGGATGGCTGTGGTCCTACTGTGGTGAGGAGGATGGCTGTGGTCCTGCTGGGCTGAGGAGGATGGCTGTGGTCCTACTGTGGTGAGGAGGATGGCTGTGGTCCTAGCTGGGTGAGGAGGATGGCTGTGGTCCTACTGTGGTGAGGAGGATGGCTGTGGTCCTGCTGGGCTGAGGAGGATGGCTGTGGTCCTGCTGGGCTGAGGAGGATGGCTGTGGTCCTACTGTGGTGAGGAGGATGGCTGTGGTCCTGCTGGTCGTGAGGAGGATGGCTGTGGTCCTGCTGTGGTGAGGAGGATGGCTGTGGTCCTCTGTGTGAGGAGGATGGCTGTGGTCCTGCTGGGCTGAGGAGGATGGCTGTGGTCCTGCTGTGGTGAGGAGGATGGCTGTGGTCCTGCTGGGCTGAGGAGGATGGCTGTGGTCCTCTGTGGTGAGGAGGATGGCTGTGGTCCTGACTGTGGTGAGGAGGATGGCTGTGGTCCTCTGGGTGAGGAGGATGGCTGTGGTCCTACTGTGGTGAGGAGGATGGCTGTGGTCCTACTGTGGTGAGGAGGATGGCTGGCTGTGGTCCTGCTGTGGTGAGGAGGATGGCTGTGGTCCTGCTGGGCTGAGGAGGATGGCTGTGGTCCTACTGTGGTGAGGAGGATGGCTGTGGTCCTGCTGGGCTGAGGAGGATGGCTGTGGTCCTACTGTGGTGAGGAGGATGGCTGTGGTCCTACTGGGCTGAGGAGGATGGCTGTGGTCCTACTGTGGTGAGGAGGATGGCTGTGGTCCTACTGTGCTAAGGAGGATAGCTGTGGTCCTACTGTGGTGAGGAGGATGACTGTGGTGAGGAGGATGGCTGTGGTCCTACTGTGCTAAGGAGGATGGCTGTGGTCCTACTGTGGTGAGGAGGATGGCTGTGGTCCTGCTGGGCTGAGGAGGATGGCTGTGGTCCTACTGTGCTGAGGAGGATGGCTGTGGTCCTACTGTGGTGAGGAGGATGGCTGTGGTCCTACTGTGCTAAGGAGGATGGCTGTGGTCCTACTGTGCTGAGGAGGATGGCTGTGGTCCTGATGTGCTGAGGAGGATGGCTGTGGTCCTGCTGTGCTGAGGAGGATGGCTGTGGTCCTACTGTGCTGAGGAGGATGGCTGTGGTCCTACTGTGCTGAGGTGGATGGCTGTGGTCCTACTGTGGTGAGGAGGATGGCTGTGGTCCTGCTGGGCTGAGGAGGATGGCTGTGGTCCTACTGTGCTGAGGAGGATGGCTGTGGTCCTGCTGGGCTGAGGAGGATGGCTGTGGTCCTACTGTGCTGAGGAGGATGGCTGTGGTCCTACTGTGCTGAGGAGGATGGCTGTGGTCCTACTGTGGTGAGGAGGATGGCTGTGGTCCTACTGTGCTAAGGAGGATGGCTGTGGTCCTACTGTGCTGAGGAGGATGGCTGTGGTCCTACTGTGCTGAGGTGGATGGCTGTGGTCCTACTGTGCTGAGGAGGATGGCTGTGGTCCTGCTGGGCTGAGGAGGATGTCTGTGGTCCTGCTGGACTGAGGAGGATGGCTGTGGTCCTACTGTGCTGAGGAGGATGGCTGTGGTCCTGCTGGGCTGAGGAGGATGGCTGTGGTCCTGCTGGGCTGAGGAGGATGGCTGTGGTCCTACTGAGCTGAGAAGGATGGCTGTGGTCCTTACTGGGCTGAGGAGGATGGCTGTGGTCCTGCTGGGCTGAGGAGGATGGCTGTGGTCCTGCTGGGCTGAGGAGGATGGCTATGGTCCTACTGAGCTGAGAAGGATGGCTGTGGTCCTACTGGGCTGAGAAGGATGGCTGTGGTCCTACTGGGCTGAGAAGGATGGCTGTGGTCCTACTGGGCTGAGAAGGATGGCTGTGGTTCTGCAGGTGCACATCCCTTTATCCGAAACTCTTGGGGGCCTGTATTTCGAATTTCAGACTTTTTCAAATTTCAGAATGATTCTCAACACCGCCACGTGGTGGCGTGACTCAACACAGAGATGACTGACGCTCCACACTCCATGAAAAAACTTTGGTTTTCGGAACTTTTCAAATTTCAGAATTTCGGATAAAGGGATGTGGACCTGTAGTGTTGATGTGGATGCAGAGTTGTCAGTAGTTGATGGTTGTGCTGGAGTGACAAAGTACGTATCTGTAATGTATCTCTGGTCTGTTTTACACTTCATTAATTTATACAGTTGACATTAAGGCATCAAAGGCCTCTGCAAAGCAATATTTTTTTAATGTGTCAGGCCATTCTCTTCCATGAAAATTTCTGCAACTTCACCAATAACCAAGAATTGCTCTCATGACTGTTGAAGTGATAACTCTACAGATTCTTCTGTTATCCTCTCCTAAATGGGAATTGAACTCTCCATCATTTCTAATGCAGTTGGTTCTTGGTCACCCTCTTCTAACAGTTCATTTAGGACTTGTTCATGTATATCTTCAAAGATCTCCTATCTCTCAGCCCTTTCCCGAGCCACAATTACTTGGACCAGACCCCTTGATGAGACATAACCAGAGAAATTATTCACCACAGTAGGCCATAATTGATCCAGGTATATATTTATGGTTAATTGGGGAAATTCATTCCATAACATTTTCACATGTGTAAGTGCATTTGTGATGCTAAATTTATTCCAGAACTTTGGCATTTTGGTCTTGGAACTGTCAGGCATTTCTGCCAGTAGTTTTTCCATGACCTTGTATGTAGCAGCATCTAAACTCTTCATAATGTCATGAGTCCAGTGACTGTATCAGAGATGTCAGATTGGCTGGTTATAACATACCCTTCACACTGGGTCACAGACTACAAGATTTGAGGGTGACTGCTGTAATAATCAAGTGAGGAGAATTTAGAATGCAAAAGTTCTTTTAGGTCAGGTACATCTTGACTGAAGGAATACAGTAATGCTTGAACCAATCTACAAACAGCCCAAGACAGCCATGTTGCCTTGTTAGACTGCCAGATAACATGCAGATATGTTTTATCTTGACCTTTTAATGCATGGGACTTTGTGTGCAATAAATTTAGTATAGCCTTGCACTTGAAATCACCTGTTGCATTTGTGCAAAGAAGAAAGTTGAAGCATTCCTTAGCTGCCTTGCAACCAGCTGCACTTTTTTTTCCCTTTGCTTGCTAATGTGCATTCTTGATGACAGACTTTTAAGACAGCCATTGCTAGTCAGCACTGAACACTTAGTCAGGACTGCAACAGTTCTCAGAACTAATATGCACAAAGTCATCAGGGTAACTTCCCATACCAATATTATCATCTGACATGCTCTAAACACTAAACTTTATCATGAAACTGATTGCACTATTTAATGTTTTCAAACCTTTCTCCTTTTTTTTTTCAGTCACAGTTTTATAGTAGGATAGAACTTTGTTCCTTATTATCTGACCACTAATCTGGGCACCTTGTTGTCTCATCAGTCCACACATTCAGTTACAGTTCTGTCTTGTTTAACTGCACTGACCTTATTTTCTTCTCATTGCCCTACTGTTTAGATAGTGGGTTATCTCAGACCAAGAGTACAGGCAGTCTACATTACAGGTGTGGCATATCTAGCAGTTCCATTTTCTGCAATACTGTCAGAGTTTCACACTTATTCTTCTTGGCAAATTGTTTCTTAAATATAGAGTAATGCATGCATTGGTCCTGGAAAGCAAATTTAGGTAGAGGGAGAGAGGATGAGTGATGCCTCCGAACACTTGACACTTCGGCAACTTGTGTCAGAGGGGAAAACTTTTAATATTTCAATATTACCTAAGTTTTGCACATACATTTATTCTATGATGCTTACAAAGTGTAATATCAAGGTTTTTCTTGCACTACAGTTTTAGATGAAGTTTTTCATGTTTACAAAAAAATCACACTATGAAGTATTGCTTTATAAGTGGGTTTACTGTATAGGAAAAGTTTATATTTTTATTTTTATAGTAATTTCATTGTTTTAACTTAGTGAGTTATGTTTGTGGACAGGTGGGTGAGGTGCCGAGCAGCGGAGGTCAAGATGGAGGGTCCAGACAGCCGGCCTCCCCAAATATCCCCTTCCCTTCCCCCACCAGCAATAGCAGCAGACTCCCATCAGCACCCACCCTCACCCCCACTCCCACTCAAACCATCACCCACCTCCCCCATGCAATCCCTCCCCCACACACCTCCACGCCACTCGCCACTGCCTCACACGCCTATCACGCCACACACGCCCCTACCCCACACGCCGCTCACCCCACACAGCCCCCTCACGCCCCTCACATCCCAGAGCACCTTAGCATCAGAGGCTTCTGTGGACTCGGGAGTGGCATCTGCACATTCACTGGATCTCTCGCACAACAGTAGCAACAGCTTGGAGACACATGCACTACGCAGGAGGGTAAGCAATTGCCACCACCAACAGCAGAACCACCAGCACCTTGTAGTGTACATTGTTTTCTGCATAATTTGTATAATGAGAATATTATCATTGGAATATCTATTGCACCATCATTTGCTAATGCAGTTTTGCACATTTGGTGTAGTATCTGATAAAGTAACTGCAGTTGTTGGAAGATAATAAGGTTGGATAGCCACAAGCCCAAGAATGTTAAAAACTGACACATTTTAGAAAAACTAAACTATTGTACTTTTAAAGAATGTGTATGGCATTTGTTTTGAACATTGTACTGTATTTTATATTAATACAAAATGTCAAATGTAACTTGCATGCCATTTTCTGAGTGCTGTCGTATATGTGTGAATATAATTGTTTTTGCCTCTGTTTTATATTTATATATTTTATTTGGTCAATTACTAATGAGAGGAAAAAGAAATGAAAGTTGTTAGACATCTCAATAGCTAATAACAAATCACAGGATGAGGATACAGTGGAAGTTAAATCTCTCAACACATCACAGCAAGAGGATGAATGCTCTGCCATCCTACCATCAGTAACTTATATATAAAGTATTGACAAATTCAAATTTTTTATTTCTTTCTATGCAGTTCAGAGATAATCTAGTTCACATGTAATAAAATATTGTTAGGCACAAAAGCTACTAACTTGTAGTATGTTTTGGGCAAACTGATATTTATGGGTTGGTACAACTGAAATATTATGAATAGTCATACCTTGATCTACAACTATCCTACTGATGTATTTCTAGATCTGTGATTCCATTCAATTAACAGCCGTGTCTTCACCTACGATTGAGATTTTTAGACTTAGGACTCAAATTTTGGACTGATGCTGACATTTACTAATACAGGTGCTCCTTAACTTCCGATGAGGTTACGTTCTAACAAACCCATCGTAAGTTGGAAATTAATATGATGTGCTATATAAGTAAATAAATAAGTACTATCACTGAATAAGTAAATAAACAAATAATTACTGTAAATAACAGTATTGAAAAGTAAATGAATACAAGTTACGGACTTGTTGCCTTCATGCTGGGTAATTATCTTGACTATCATCTCCAAAGTAATTGCTTGTGCACCATCGTAAACTAAAAATGTCACAAGTCGAACCATTGTAAGTCGAGGAGCACCCGTAATTCATTACGTTAATTATTCTTAGCCATTCATTAGCTATCAGATGCTTGTGTTCACACAGTAATTTAAATGCCAGGTTGCTAAGTACACTGCAGGTAAAGTGTTCTACACCACATGTGGTATCATGTGGTGTAGAACACCACATGATACCACATGTAGCATACAATACTGAAAAGATGATAAGCCATGTACAACACTTGAGTATATTGCTGAAACATTTCACCTGCACAACAAGCATCTTTCATTGATTGCAGAGACAGCCTTTATACTGGAGATGGTGGAAGGGAAACTTAAAGGTGTTCACTCCTTCAACCTTGATTGAAGAAGTTCAGTCCTGTACCCTTGATCTGAGACTAGGTTAAGGGACTGAATACTGTTATAAAATGTAACTTCTGTAAAGTATAGACATCTCCAAGCAATATTAGGTCAACTTATTGATCCCCCTCTAGTATATAGCCTGTTATCAGGTTTTATAACAGTATGTCAGAGAATATTCTAGTTCAGTCATCCCATAAATTATGTGGTTTCTCAATAGTGCTTTTTTGGATTGCAACTGGATGAATTAAACCAACCAAATGAAAGTTAAGATCTTTAATAACAAGGGTGTCTAGGTGGTAATAATTACAGTTAATGTAACTTGAATAATTAAGGAGATAAGCTCCTACACAACTCTTGGAGTATAACTCAGAATACTTATACAGTAGGGCCCCGCTTTATGGCGTTTCACCTTATGACGTTCTGCTAATATGGAGATTTCAAATTATGACAGAAACTTGCTATACGACTCACCCTGTCTTTCTAATACAGTGCACTCCACCTGGTTTGTTTACATTCTCCATGAGCATATCTATCTGAAAGTGTCTGGAAACTTTCCACAATTTCAAGTGTTTTGAAGTTATTGCATATTTTATATGTACTCTGATAATTATACTTATGTGTACCTGTACTTAAATATACTTGCACACTGTGCTGGTGTGCAGGTACACATTAAAATCACTAAGAGTCTCTTTACTCTTGACCCCATATTAATAATAATAATCTTTGGTGACATTAAATGTCGTATATTTTGTTAATATAGACATTTCCATTAATCTATCTATGATAATTTTTTTTCAAAATTATATAATATACATGCTACATAATATATAAATATGTTAAGTACACCCCACAGTAGAATAAATTAACACAAATATGAGATGTGGTAGCCAGGTGACTTGTAAGAGTGACAGCAAGAATAAAGTTGTCTCTAGTCCAACATCAGAGAAAATGTGTACACTATAATATTACTGGGGGTAACTAGAAAATTATTCCTTTTGTATGCTTTCACTCAGAGCGTCATTTCTTCAAAAAATGGTGTTACATGAGAATGGGAGTGTTCCTCTTTATTTATTCTACTGTATCAATGTGGTGGCAACTTGTACACAATCTAAGGTGTTTGTATTATGGTATAAGATTCACATACATGGAATGAACGTGTATCAACCAAAAGTAGACACGTCTGTTTGTTTACATTACATGTGGGTGGGATGGGGTGGACTGCCCTGGCTGGATACCATACTTCCCACACCTGCTTTCTTACAAATAAATACGACTCGCCCCTCACCCTATGTTAAGACTGCAAATATTTTAAGGTAATGGATGCACTGTGTGTGTGTATTTCACTTTTTTGTTTTTAATGCCTATTTCTATTGCTAACTTAATATATGTTAGTGAAAACTTGTTATCTGGCATTTATATGCATTTATAATGGAAAAATGGCGTTCTGCTTTCCGGCGATGTCTGGTTTCTGGCAGTAGCCAGGAACCTGCCATATAAGTGTGGGGCATTACTGTATATCATAGTTATTCTGTACATGTTATCATTAGATGCTAAGTGCACTCTTATTAAGATATTGTACTACAGATCGGCCATCACTAATCCGGCATCATTGGGACCTGTAGTGTGCCGGATTAGTGAGTTTTCCGGATTACAGAGTGGTTAAGTTAGAATACACTTATATTTTGGCCTTCATTTGATTAGTTTATCCTGCAGCATGTAAACGTTCATTATTTCTTGTTCACTTATAAAACTGCATTCCTCTAGATCTTTTAACAATTCACCTGTCAACTGAATTAACCTATCAATACTCTTTCTGCTACATCTTCCTCATTTTCATCACTGCTTTCTCCTCTTCTGGCTTGCTGCTGTGGATTTACAGCCATCTGCGCAATTTCTGAGTTAGTATAATGATAAAATTTGAAATTATGCTAGCCAAAATTAGTGCGGGATTACAGATGGAACCAGATAACTGATTGGCAGATTAGTGATGGCCGACCTGTATTAGTAATAAGTACTGTCTGGTACATTGCTATGATGAGATGTACTCAAGTTCAAGACTAAAGATGTGCATGTGTAAGTGCTCCGATTGATTTGACTTACTTAACTCTTTCACTGTCCAGACCCCTAATCTGAAACTTGTCCACAATGTCCAAGAATTTAAAAAAAAATAAATTATTTTTCTTACGAAATGGTAGAGAATCTTTTTTTCTGAAGGTAATAAAACAAAGTATGAAATTTGATAGATATTGACAAAATTACACTTTAGTGAATTTTGCTGCATCAGCAATATTTAGGCACTTGAGGGTGTGTGCCAGTGTTCTACGGGTTTAAACCGGGGTCCATGCCATAGTGCAACATAATGAGCTCAGCTCACTCAGATAAGCTGTGAGTGGTATATTTGGGCCTAAATATGAGAGAATTGGTCTATGTGGTAAATGTGCACCATACACAACAAATCCTGCAGTACACTGTGCATAATGAAGAAAAAACTGTGACCCTGTTTTTAGTTTAAAACAGCAACTTCGCGATGTATTTCCCTATGGTTTTTATGCTTGTATTCGTGGTTTCTTGGTCTCGTATGATAGAATGGAAGATTATATTACAGAGAAAGAGATGATTTTGATTGATTTTATTACTGAAAATAGTATGAAATTGAGCTGAAAGTAGCGTAAACATTCTATTTTTGCCAGTGTTCAAGAGTAAACAAATCGCATTCGTGCGTCCAACACACATCAACTGGTGGGTCTGATATACATTTACAAATGCGTTGATATTATGTATACAGTTATCACAATATTGCATAACAGAAAATCTTCCATTTTTTGGTGTGAATAAAAGATCAAAACGGAATTCATGTGTAAAGCCTGGAAACATGACTAATAAACAGAGGAAATGTTATTTAAGTAAGAAGAATGCCTGCATTATTTATTCTAAACTCTATTTTGAAATTGTAATACAGGAGAGGTCTGGAGCCAAGTGTAATAATAGGAGAGGTCTGGACCCAATTGTAATAATAGGAGAGGTCTGGACCCAATTGTAATAATAGGAGAGGTCTGGAGCCAAGTGTAATAATAGGAGAGGTCTGGAGCCAAGTGTAATAATAGGAGAGGTCTGGAGCCAAGTGTAATAATAGGAGAGGTCTGGAGCCAAGTGTAATAATAGGAGAGGTCTGGAGCCAAGTGTAATAATAGGAGAGGTCTGGAGGCAAGTGTAATAATAATAGAGAGAGGGTCTGGAGGCAAGTGTAATAATAGGAAGGGTCTGGAGCCAAGTGTAATAATAGGAGAGATCTGGAGCCAAGTGTAATAGAAGAGGTCTGGATCCAAGTGTAATAGGAGAGGTCTGGAGCCAAGTGTAATAATGGGAGGGGTCTGGTGCCAGTTGCAATAATATGAGAGGTCTGGAGCCAAGTGTAATAATAGGAGGGGTCTGAAGCCAAGTGTAATAATAGGAGAGGTCTGGAGCCAAGTGTAATAATAGGAGAGGTCTGGAGCCAAGTGTAATAATAGGAGAGGTCTGGAGCCAAGTGTAATAATAGGAGAGGTCTGGAGCCAAGTGTAATAATAGGAGAGGTCTGGAGGCAAGTGTAATAATAGGAGAGGTCTGGAGGCAAGTGTAATAATAGGAGAGGTCTGGAGGCAAGTGTAATAATAGGAGAGGTCTGGAGACAACTGCAATAATAGGAGAGGTCTGGATACAAGTGATATACAGGAGAGGTCTGGATACAAGTGTAATATAGGAGAGGTCTGGATACAAGTGTAATATAGGAGAGGTCTGGATACAAGTGTAATATAGGAGAGGTCTGGAGATGTGTTTAATGAACATAGGAAAGTTTATTTTAGTGGCTGCAGCACTTAGTGTATATTTGGAACTTGCTTTTTAAGTTTAAATTAGTAGAATTTTGTGTAAAATTTGCCAAATTACTGAAGTGCGTGTACTTTATAGGGTAGTTTTGATGGTTGAATGGACAATTTCTTGTCCTCATTTTATAGAACAGAAGGAATAATAGAAAAATAGCTAAGAATTTTTTCAGTCGAATAATGGTGCTTGGCTTAAAATAGGACTCAAAGTGAGCAAAATTTCCACTACATAAATTATGTCCTGACTGCCAACTTTGTGCCTGTGTAATTCCACAAGTTTTCTGTCAAATTTCACATTTTTGGTGTTATTACCTTCAGAAAAAAAAATCCTTTACCATTTCAGAATTTTTTGTATTTAATTTCCAACATTATCGTCATTTTTAATTTTAGTGCTTCTGACAGTGAAAGGATTAAATATCATAAAATGTTATTTAAATTTTAATAAATTTTGTTCATTAAATGCTCTAGTAGGTAGAAGTATAACTCATAATGATGGGAGTTTAATACTATTATTGTAATGGAGTTATTTATTGTCCCATTTTATTTTGTTATTAAATAACATAGAATTATAGTGTAACACAGGTTTGAACATTGAAAAATACATCTGAGCTCATGGCATAATTAATCCTTAAACTGTTCAAACGTAGATCTACGTTTTTCAACATTTGAAGGTATGTAAAAAAACATGGATCTTTTTTTTTTTTTTTTTTTTTTTATTGAAAACATGTAATAAAACTTTGATCTACTTTTTTTTTTTTTTATATTTGAAAATATGTAAAAAAACGTAGATCTACTTTTGGAGCACTACGCATGTGAACATAAATTTGTTTGGACAGTTTAAGGGTTAATGCAACTTTAAAATTTTTTACTTATCCATTTGTGAAGATGAGTGTTAAGTTGTAAATCCAGAGTGCAACACTGGATATTGATTCCTTAAAGCAGTTTTTTGAACTGTAGTATCGGCACACTTTTGGAAAGACAGTGAGGGAGTGAGTGATGAAAGTGTTTCTTCTTTTTCGGGTCACTCTGCCTCGGTGGGAAATAGCCAACATGATAAAAAAAGAACTCTGAGGATCATCTGCAAAAGTAAAATGTTATGAATAGTTGTTGGGAGAGAAATTAATATTTTGGATCTAGCCAGCAACAGACAGCAACAACCTAGTTTAACAGGCAGTCAACAGAAGAGCCTGGCCCCCAGGTTGGGCTGCAAGGATAGAAAAGCTTACAAAGCTGATCACAGGTATACCCCTGGTTGAAGTGATGCAGCTAGATAATGGTGAATCATAAGTGATCGTCTCTGTATGGCATTTTTCCCTTTTGCATTGAACCTTCTCTGATATTTATACATCTAAATGCATGATTTTAACATTGTTTTGTACAGCACTGCATTTCTACACCCACATGAAGATATTTCCCATAAATAGAATAAAATTTTATCATTCAGATATTTTTAAAGCAATAAACTTGAAAAAATAATTTTTTTTTGTGTGTTCCTCGACTCGCGATGTTACGTTCCGGTGACCCCATTGTAAGTTGAAAATATCTTGTCGAATATGAAGGGATTGAGGGAAACCGGCAGGCCAGACTTGAGTCCTGGAGATGGGAAGTACATTGTCTGAACTCTGAAGGACGGTGGACGGTGATGGAGTGAATGATGATGAAAGTTTCTTTTTTGGGCCACCCTGCCTTGGTGGGAAACTGCCGATGTGTTAATAAAAACAAATACTGTATAAACATTTAAAAATATACTAGAAATGTTATAAATGGTGCAAAGGTGACATTAAAGAAATATCTAAAGTTGGTTGACACAAACCCACTACCAGTGTAGTACGCTCCTCACTCAACGACCAATTCTCTTATGAGCTACCCTTAGGAACGGAACCTGTCACTAAGTGAGGAGAGGCTGTATAAGGCCAGTAGAAGCATAAGGTTTGCATACCACTAAATGCACTTCAAGCCAAGCGAATTCATTACATGCCAAGAGTAAATTTACATTATCTCTATTTTTTTTTTTTTTTTTTTTTTTTAATTACCTTTCAGGAGTGCAGAGTGGGAGTAGTGTTGCAAGAACAGGCTAGTCTCTGGGCTTTAACATTAATTCTCTCTGCATTGTCATGGTGTTTCCTTTGTGAACATAATATTCATTTATAGATATTTCTCCATGGGCAAGTGGAGAAGAATGCTTCCTCTGTAAGCCAGGCATGTCATAAGAGGCAACTAAAATGCCGGGATCAAAGTGCTAGTAACCCCTTCTCCTGTATAAATTACTAAATGTAAAAAGAAAAACTCTCATTTCTTTTTGGGGTCGCCTTGGATCACTCTGCCTTGGATCACTCTGCCTCGGTGGGAGACAGCCAGTGTGTTAAGAAAAATGTTTACTGAGAGTACATGTAAAATAATTGCAGTACTTTGTTAACCAAGATGTGCAGAATTCTTCGACAAAAATGAAATGTTCGGTCATTGGCTCTTTAGTATACAATATTTGAAGATTTTGCATTGAATATCCTGCTTTGAATATAGAAAACAAACTCATTAATTAGTAGTTAATTTTGGTGCAGTATAGAAAAAGATATCTTTTTACTGATTACATGTAATAGTTGGACTTTGATGTAATGTATATAACAGTGTGATCATTTCATCTGCAGGCTGGGAGCAGCGTGAGCAGTGGGACAAGTGAAGTGTGGCTGGGGTCTCTGGATGGTGATCCAGCTGGCCTGGAGGTTCTACCAGAGCTGTGGCCTCACTCTGAGAGTCCCACATCACTCCATCATAGTCCACCACCCTCACACCACAGCCCCTCCTCCTCCCATCACAGTCCTACGCCGAGTCACCATAGTCCAACAGTCTCCTGTCATAGTCCAATACCCACCCACCAGAGTCCGACCTCACAGCATCATCATCTCCCACCCCAGGACATAGACATTGGTGGTCCTGCTGTGCCCGTTATAGGTCAAGACTCGGAGAGGCACTCCTCATCCCCAAGAGACAACCCCAAGGAAGCTTTTTCATCTGTGATACCACTTCACCCTAGTGCCCTAAGTCCTCATACCAGCCCTCTGCGGCCAGGAGTTGAGCAGTCTGGAAAGAACAGACAAAAGTGTGTAATAACTGTGAACTCTGTCCCAAGTAATGATAAATTATATAGTGGACGAGTTTTTACAGAATTTTGTGCAAATGATGAGGCATTTTATGATAAAAGATTTTATATAAAAGACACTCAAGCATTGTTAAAAGAGAATTATAGTTTAAATGGTATGTTAAGAAAATCTAAAGAAACAGACAATCTATCAAGTACAGGTAACAGTGATTTAGAATGCATGGCTAGAGAAGGCTGTGTTTGGATTGACAAGTTTGCTACATTATTTGTAAAGCAGGTTATAGAAGAAGCCCTTTCAGTGAGCTCCTCTATTGGTTGGTCTATAAAGTGCTCGGGCCAGTGTCAGCGTGAACAGTGTCGGGAAGATTATCAGAGAAAAGAGAGCAGTTGGTGGACTGTGGGAGGAGGCAGAGGTAATCGTAAGTCCAGCATCCCACTTTTGGGTTTGTCTTGTGGGAGTCCTGGTTTGTGTTGGACTCCAGAGCTACCGTACAGTCCCTCACACCGACCACACTCCCGATCATCTTTGGGCTCCAGCCTTTCCTTCTCCCATGACTCGCTGGTAAGTTCTGGTCCTCGCATGGACGACTCTCACCTCATCACCGGCGCTGTGTCACACGATGCCTTGCTCTTTCCTACTTCCAAAACCTCCCACAGTGATGTGAGTGACATATATAATGTGCCACTGGATGGAGATATCTATGCAGTGCCAGTAGATGTAGTAAAGCCTAATAAGGAGGGGCAAATATTACACCCAAAAGCCATTATGCATCAACCCAAAAAGAGACATCATAGGAGACATGCTAAGAACACTACTAGTGCTAGTGTGTTAAGTGATAACAGTTCAAAAAAAGTTAGTAACTCTGATCATATTAGTGGCAGCAGACAATTTAAGGAAAGTAGTGTAACCAGAAGCAGACAGCATTCTGGTCAGTCAGTTGCTTCTGTCAGTGGTGACTTGCTGAGAGTGAGTAAACGTCACAGTGTACCCAGTAACATTGGCTGTGCTCTCAGCATGACTCCTAAACATGGTGCAAGTAAGGAAAATCATGAACCTATTCATATGACTCTGGAGGAAGTTCGAAAATCTTTCCATGAGTCAGATGATACTATAAACTGTAATAAGACTAATAGGGTTCAGCAGAATCATAAAGTTGTTCATGAACAGTCTAAAATATGCAGAATAATTCCTTTTACGTCGATGAAGTCATGTAAAAGAAAAGATAGTTCAGGAAAACCGTCTTGAGGATAATCGTAAGAAAGGCAGAAGTATATCTAGTAATATTCGTAATACTCTAATTACCATATTTGGCCTCAAGAAAGGAACTAAATCCAGTGGCACAAGATTGAAAAGTGGGAGCTGTGTGGATGCTGCAACTCAGGGATTTTCAGAAATTGCAGGCAATGGAACCACTAACCTTGTCTGCTCCCCCGCCTCAGGTCCGCAACCCAACCATACAACCAACCATGCAACAACCACCATCACCAGAAACAATCACAATCAGCAGAACCACCACAGTAACCACCGCCACTCTAATGGCGTTAACACCGGCTTGTTATCATGCCTGGGGAATCTTAGGACAGAAACAGAGGAGCAACCCATTACAACAACTAATGTGCCACAGCAGATTGCAGCTCCATCTAGGTCTCCAGCCATTGTAACAAACAGAGCGTTGCCTCCTCTGCCTTTGCCGTCTGCTGAAGAGGAGGATACTACTGCCAAAACCACAGAAACTGAGGCTGGTGGAGAACGCAGAGAAGAAGAGGGCTGTGATTTTGCTTCAATAATTGAAAAAGTAAAAGATGTAAGTACAGTAGTATTCACCAATTTCTTTGTTGAACAGATGTTAGTGACTGTTTATGAACGGACTTCACCTATGCTTGATATTTTGAAATAACTGGGAGTAGAACAACTCTCAAAACAGATACAGGTTTAACACAAATGAACATTTTTAAATTTAAAAGCTACCTTTTGTGTGTGTGTGTGAAGGGGTGCATGTGTATATGTGTGCATGTTTACCTGTATATAATTGCAAAGGTCGAGTCTTGGCTCCTGACTGCGCCTCTTCACTGGTCACTATTAGGTTCAGTCTTGCCTGGCTTCAAGAGCCTTATCGTACCTCCTCTTACAGCTATGTGTGGATCCTGTCTCTATCACTTCATTTCCCAGGTACCTTTGAGTTCCAAGAGTTTGTTCTACTCCCAGAGCCCAGCCTTGGGCCAGGCTCATCTGGTGCTTGCCTGGTCAACAGGCTGTTTCTGCTGGTCGCCTGCTGACCCACATGTCCATCACAGCTTGGTTGATCTGGCACCTGGTGAAGATACTAGTCTAGTTTCCTCTTGAAGACTTCTACAATTGTCCCAGCTGTGTTTCCGATGTCTTGTGGTTATATGTTGAATAGTCTGGGACTACAGATGTTGATACGGTGTTCCCTTATTGTGACCACTGCACCCCCACCTTTTCATTGGATTTATTTTGCACTTTCTCTCATATCTCTCATTCCAATTTCTGACCACTTTATTGGGCAGTTGAAACAGGTGAATGGGCAGTTTCTTGTACTCAGTCGACAGGATAGTAGTAAGTAAATTAGTAAGTTTATTCAGGTATACACAAATACAGTTACATAGATTATCATACATAGCAGCTTATGTGCAGAGAACCTGGGAAAACACAAGAAGTTAGACAAAGTGACATATTTCTATCGAGGTCCTTAAAGACCATCATGTAGTTGATGGGTTTTAACGCATAATAAACCAGGTAGCCATTTTGTATAACAAACCAGAAACAAGAACAGATCTTGCAAGAACCCTTGCAAGATCTGTTTTTGCAAGAGTTGCACTGAAGAGAAGATTCAGTCCAACGCTTGTATAAACCTTGCTGAATTTAAACAGCACTACAAAAGGAATACTAGTGAAATAGCTATGAGTTTGGTAGACTGGAACAATGGAATGGGCCAAAAATAGGGCGTAAATTGGGTAATCTGGCAAAGTCACTAATCTGGCACCCTGCAGGTCCCGTTGATGCCGGATTTGTGATGGCCAACCTGTAATGGGTTTCTAAAATCTTAATTTAAATTTGAAGGTAATTATGAAAATGCAATTAAATTTCAAGGTCAAAACTTCAATTTTGCAAAATATGTATAGTATTTAATTGCTGTTCCCCTTTCCTTTTCGTTTCAATACAATATATATAAATTAGTTGATGAAACTGGCATTTGCACTTGTTGCCACTAACCTAAATCTTTGTTACAGTGTGGCTGGTACTGGGGTCCAATCAGTGGGGAAGCAGCTGAGAAAGTGTTGGCCAATGAACCAGATGGATCCTTCATAGTAAGAGACTCCTCCGATCACCATTATATCTTCTCTCTTACCTTTAAGCTTAATGGTTTTATTCGGCACGTCAGAATTGAGCATGATCAAGGTAAGACTTCCCATTTGCTCTTTGACGAACTTATCTGATTTCTCATTTCCTCTTGAGAACTTCCTTAGTATCAGGCTATAACAAGAATTTAAATGTGCAATTGCAAATAAAAATAAAAGACGGGTTGATATACAGGAATAATTAACCCGTCTTGCTTTCACTGGTTTGGTAATCAACTTTCATATACAGACACTTTATATTTAACTGTCTTCACTAGACATAAGTTGAGTTTCACTTGTTTACAGATGTGGCTGAGTTGGGTGTGATAAAGAAATTGTTTGGTATTTCATTGAGGATGTATTAAGCTACCTCTCTATTTTTCACTTATAATTATTAACATAGTTGACCCATGAAAAAAAAGATTTAGGCTTATTTAGTGTCAGGCACCATGTCTCTCTAAACACTGCTCTCCTCTGGCTAATATTGACATTGTTAAGAAAGAAGAATTAGAAAGAAGCTGTGGTTCTAACAGATTTCCACCAAATTTTGCTGTTAAAATTATTATAGCTTCTATGAAAAACTTTCCATTCCAATTTCGGAAGCAGTAAACTAAATAACATCTTCTCGTCTATAAGATCAAACCTGTCCAGCAAAATATCAAACTCCCATGTCCTAGTTACAGTTTGTATATCGGTGGAATTCAGTTCCGAGATGGTGAATTAGACACATGCGCAACATCTGGGTGTTTTTTACTTGTAGACGTTTCTCCCTCTAGTGGCTTTATCAATACCGTACATGAACATGTTAGAAATATTTACAGAAAATAATGAAAGATGAGGTAATGGGTCCCCCAGCCTGGGAAAAGGGTGTGACACTGTAGGCCCCTGAGGTACCCTTTTGCCTCAATCATATCATGTACAAATGTAAACATTGGGATGGCAAACCGCCCTAAAAGTAAAAATACCCAGATGTTGCAGTGTCAATTTCATAAAGCTAAGATTGCCTCCTAAAAAAAAATGCAGGAAAAAGGCCAATATACCCGTTTGTATACAGTATAACTCAGGCTTTTCAGCAAACCTGTAGAAACTTAAATTTTTCCAACTATTTAAGCTAAAAAGGGGTTATGCCAACTACAAAATTTGCCTTTATTACTAAATTTGAAAAATAATAAACAAAGACACATTCATAAAAACATAATATTTTAAAATCTTCCCTTTTGGGTTTCGGGGTCACAAAAAAATATGAATGATAAACATAAAAAAAGTGTGACTCAGACATTTCTAGCATAAATAAAACCCTTTTTGGGGCTTTTTTTTTGATTGGAAAAATTTTTGATACAGTAAACCACAACACTGAGCTTATACTAAATTAGAACCATAATCCCCCAAATACGAAAGCCTTCCTTAACCCTTTCACTGTTTCCCACATAAACTAATCATTGCACCAGCGTTACTAAAGTAGTTTTATTTTGTAAGACAGTGACCTCGAGCCCGTGAGTGGAAAATTTTACCGGACAGAGAGGGGTTTCTGCAGTAAGGGTGCACGTTAAACATTCTGCTCCCACAGACATGAGGGGAAAAGCAATTCTGACCTTGTATTGCGTAAAGCAACTTTTTGGCATTTTCTAGGGGCTTTTTTTGGTTTACTGTCATTTTTTGTATCAGTTGATACATAGCAAGAGAAATTTTGGATAATTTTTTGGGCTGGGGAAATGACTTGAAATAGGGTTCAAAAAAGGGGAGAAATATTAAAATTTTTTGGATTTTCCCAAAAGGGTAGGCCCCCCCCCTAGTAGGGGTACCCCTCCCCTTAGGGGTTCCCCTCCCCACCCCCCCCCCCTAGTCGTTTTTGGGGATTATTTGGGCTGTTTTTAATTTTGGGGGTGCCCCACCTAAACTAACACATCATTCTTGGTTATACAGTATTTTTTTAATTCAAAACAATAAACTTCATGTTTTTTTTGCATGGGTTCAAATGGAGGGCAAGTATTACATAGGAGAGGTATGGGGTGTGATTAATGAACAGAGGGAAGGTTGCTTTTGTGCTGGAATACCTATCATGTTTATTTTAATTTTTGTTTGTAAATTGGGTTTTGAATTTGTGTAAAATTATCAATACTGCCCCTTGAACATTATATGGTAGCTTGATAATAAAAGGCATTTCCATGCTTTATTGATAGAATGAAGGGATACTAAAGAAAAAAACTGGGAAAAATGGGGTTTACTTGACATTTACTTGGTTAAAGTAGACTTAAATTAACAAACATCAAATTTTTTGCCTGCATAATGCTGTAGGCTTTCACCAAATTTTCCCTTTTTTGGGGGGATTTTCCTTTAGAAAAGATTCTTTACAATTTTAAAGCATTTTTTTTTTCTTTAAGGAAAACATTTTTTCGGTGGGCACGAACAAAAGGCTACTGACGACACCAACATAAACTATTATTTACATATTTTCACTTGCTGGGATACAAGGGGGGGTTTTTTACCCTCACCATAACTTGAGGGAAAAAATGTTTGGCAAAATAACATCCACTTGTGGTGTCGGCCTCTTAAAAAAATTTCCCTACTGGGAGCATAAAGTTAAACACTACTTCATCAATTCATCATTGTAGGTAAACAGGGGAGCATCCTAGGCTCTTTTTTCTACTACATTAGTGACCCTATTGTCTCCCGGAACTTAATTTTGTTTGCAGGGGGCACAACTTTTTCATCTCTTTTTCAGGTTGTCCTCAGAACATGTTAAAAGATAACTCTTTCTTAAAATTTTTAGAAGATAACCGCAAAATTTTTTATTTTTATATCACACTGGCCGATTCCCACCAAGGCGGGGGGGGCCCGAAAAAAAAAAACTTTCACCATCATTCACTCCATCACTGTCCTTGCCAGAAGGGTGCTTTACACTACAGTTTTAAACTGCAACATTAACACCCCTCCTTCAGAGTGAAAGGCACTGTACTTCCCATCTCCAGGACTCAAGTCCGGCCTCCGGTTTCCTGAACCCCTTCATAAATGTTACTTTGCTCATACTCCAACAGAAATGTCAAGTATTAAAAACCATTTGTCTCCATTCCTCCTATCAAACACGCTCACGCATGCCTGCTGGAAGTCCAAGCCCTCGCACACAAAACCTCCTTTACCCCCTCCCTCCAACCTTTCCTAGGCCAAACCCCTACCCGCCTTCCTTCCACTACAGACTAAATACACTCTTGAAGTCACTCTGTTTCGCTCCATTCTCTCTACATGTCCAAACCACCTCAACAACCCTTCCTCAGCCCCCTGGACAAAAGTTTTGGTAATCCCGCACCTCCTCCTAACTTCCAAACTAGGAATTTTCTGCATTATATCACACCACACATTGCCCTCAGACATGACTCTCCACTGCCTCCAGCCTTCTCCTCGCTGCAACATTCTCACCCATGCTTCACACCCTATTAAGAGCGTTGGTAAAACTATACTCTCATACATTCCCCCCTTTGCCTCCAAGGACAAATTTCTTTGTCTCCACAGATCCTAAGTGCACCACTCACCCTTTTCCCTCATCAATTCTATGATTCACCTCATCTTTTATAGACCCATCCGCTGACACGTCCACTCCCAAATATCTGAATACATTCACCCCCCTCTATACTCTCTCCCTCCAATCTGATATCCAATCTTTCATCACCTAATCTTTTTATCCTCATAACCTTACTCTTTCCTGTATTCACTTTTAATTTTCTTCTTTTGCACACCCTACCAAATTCATCCACCAATCTCTGCAACTTCTCTTCAGAATCTCCCAAGAGCACAGTGTCATCAGCAAAGAGCAACTGTGACAACCCCCACTTTGTGTGATTCTTTATCTTTTAACTCCCACGCCTTTTGCCAAGACCCTCGCATTTACTTCTCTTAAAACCCCCATCTATAAATATATTAAACAACCATGGTGACATCACACATCCTACTTTCTAACTGGAAATTATTTCCTCTTTCTACATACTCTAACTTGAGCCTCACTATCCTCGTAAAAACTCTTCACTGCTTTCAGTAACCTACCTCCTACACCATACACCTGCAACATTGCCACATTCCCCCCTATCCACCCTGTCATACGCTTTTTCCAAATCCATAAATGCCACAAAGACTTCTTAAGCCTTATCAAAAATACTGTTCACTATATGTTTCACTGTAAACACCTGGTCCACACACCCCCTACCTTTCCTAAAGCCTCCTTGTTCATCTGCTATCCTATTTCCGTCTTACTCTTAATTCTTTCAATAATAACTCTACCATACACTTTACCAGGTATACTCAACAGACTTATCCCCCTATAATTTTTTGCACTCTCTTTTGTCCCCTTTGCCTTTATACAAAGGAACTATGCATGCTCTCTGCCAATCCCTAGGTACCTTACCCTCTTCCATACATTTATTAAATAATTGCACCAACCACTCCAAAACTATATCCCCACCTGCTTTTAACATTTCTATCTTTATCCCATCAATCCCGGCTGCCTTACCCCCTTTCATTTTACCTACTGCCTCACGAACTTCCCCCACACTCACAACTGGCTCTTCCTCACTCCTACAAGATGTTATTCCTCCTTGCCCTATACATGAAATCACAGCTTCCCTATCTTCATCAACATTTAACAATTCCTCAAAATATTCCCTCCATCTTCCCAATACCTCTAATTCTCCATTTTAATAACTCTCCTCTTCTATTTTTAACTGACAAATCATTTGTTCTCTAGGCTTCCTTAACTTGTTAATCTCACTCCAAAACTTTTTCTTATTTTCAACAAAATTTGTTGATAACATCTCACCCACTCTCTCATTTGCTCTCTTTTTACATTGCTTCACCACTCTCTTAACCTCTCTCTTTTCTCCCATATACTCTTCCCTCCTTGCATCACTTCTACTTTGTAAAAACTTCTCATATGCTAACTTTTTCTCCCTTACTGCTCTCTTTACATCATCATTCCACCAATCGCTCCTCTTCCCTCCTGCACCCACTTTCCTGTAACCACAAACTTCTGCTGAACACTCTAACACTACATTATAATTATAAGCAAAATTATAA